GACCCAAAAGCCATGTGAAAAGTCGATATACGAGTACACAATTTTATGTAATCACGTAGTATTATTGTGTTATATAAAATTATTGTTATGGCAACACTGCGTAGTATTGCTGTTGTGATAATATTGTGGCAGTGATATGGACTTAGAAWTTTTTTGACGTTTTTTTCTCCGGACCCAAAAGCCAGAGTTCAACCTTTTATTTTTATCCACCACAGCGGATATTATTATCGAAATTAAACTTCTTTAAGGTCGCCAAACACTGCAGCGGCGGCGGTAAAATGCTTTTGTCTTGATGGTGCCACCAATGTGGGACGACCTTTACGGAAGGACGGTATATACCAACGCAAAACTTTTGAGAAACGCTGGGATCGTTATTTTTCCATGAAATCGCTTTCATGGAAGATATATTACCATTATATACCATTGTCCATTACCTATAATATTCGTTTACAACGACCCCGTAAATCCTATTATTTTCTTCTGAGATCATCATATTATATTTCGTTAATTATTTTCTGAGAACTTTAAAATGGTCGCCCTCAACGATTTTCAATACGTTATGGACGTGCCTTGTTATAAGTGAAAACTTTTGTACTTGGTTTGTTTACATAGTCGGAAAAAAATTTAGCTTATTGTGTTTATAGCCGCCTTCTGCAAAAGTAAAATATTGTATTGTGGTGTCTGTCATTTATCGTATTATCAGGTACCAGTATTGTGAATTATTAAAACAAAATTATGATTTTTATTTTATTTATTTTATGTATTTTAATAGTTATAACTTATAGGTCAATAGAGTAATAATCGTACCGCCACATGGTCGTTCACGCAAAAGTTTGATCATTTTAAATTTCCTTTTGTCTTATAATAATAGGTTATTATGTAAATTAATTTCAATTGAATATTTTATTCCAGTAAAACCCTAATACTCCATCGGTTGAATCATTTTAAATGAAGTTTTACTTAATCAACGCGTACTCGCAACACGCACTTTTTTTATTAACTGTGAGATTTTCCAAAGGCGTAGTCTCACTAAACAACAAATTAATCGAACATTTTTTTTTTTTTGAAAGGTATTACATAATAATAAAGGAAAAGTTTAATAACAATAACAATAAATGCTTGAATTATATGAGAATAATAATAATAATAAGGTTGTTTTATTTTTTTTAAATGTAATCGAATATACGGTTTTAAGCCAATAATACAACACTGTGCCGTATGTACCTATACTGGTTTCGACAGGACAATATATATATATAATTTAGGTAAATGTATAAAATGTTAATAATATTATGTTCTTACGTAAAATGTGTTCTCATATTGGATAGATAAATTAGGACTGCAGATAACCGTTCTATTCAGGATTATCGCGAAATGTAAACGTAGAAGTCGGAGATAGTTAATCGATTTCGGATAGCGTTGGTAACTATCATTAGGAATCGTATTTGTGAAATAATGATATATATATATATATATATAATATGATCGAGTCGGAGAATTCAAAAGGTTTATATTGTTTTCATTTTTGCTTTTATTCGTTGAATGTTTTCTGATTTGACATCGATATCGCACAGGCATGTACAATGATTTCTGTTGATTAGTATTAGTATATACCACACATCTATAGGTATTCCGTACGTGCGGATAGCATTCGTGACACTTACATTTCGAAAGACCGATCGCCGCAAGAGCGATTATATTATAGTAAAATATTTAATAACACCGATGGTTGCAGTTAATAAATGGCAATACATCGATCGGTCCAACGGTCCACAAAGAGAGGTAATTGGGAACAACGATGTGTAAAGACCGTCGTACTATATACCACGTGTATTCACTAATAAAATAAAATATAATGATTATTATACATTTCGCCTTGACATTTGCGAACTGGACGGCGCAGTGAAGCACTTTTAAACGGTTGGCGGCTAATGTACCAGAAGCGGCCTAAAAAGCGTCTGACAACAAATGCAAGTAATTTAATAATATATATACAAGCACACATAATATGTACCTATTTTATATATATGTAGGTACTTATGTATTATGTTTATAATAATATGTATGCAATATKATTTAATGACTATTTAATATACGTATATACATATATATAAATCGTATAAATTGATTTCGATTTACAGCTATGAGTGAGGCAGATATAACTATGAGCCCGATGCAACGATATAATATGCGTCAGTTCACGGTCATTTATCTATGCCTAATATATTATATATCATTTTCATAATAAATAGACGAACGATCCACCTATTATAATAATATCTTATACGCTTAGATAAACGACCACTATACGATTATTATTATTAAATTGATAAAACCACAACATTGTAGCCGGGTGCAGATGTATTACGACCTGCAGCGTATTGGTTACTGCAACTGCAGCATATGCGTTTTTATTTTATTATAATTTTTTTTTTATTGCGGTGCACTCTATATTAAACAAATTCGTCGTGATTTTTAAGCAAATCATCGTATAAACAACAAAACTATGCGTTCTTGTCAATTTTTTTTACCGTCGCAGCACATATTATATATCATGCAAACTTTTAAACCGTGACTAGACCAATAAATAAATATTATTAAATGACCTCATAATATAATATTATTATATGAACAATGTGTTATTGAGTAATTCAAGCAAATATGATAGAATATTGATGATAACATTTAAGTCGGAAGTTCGATGATGAAATGGCTCAAATGTTCATTATTAGATTGAGTTAGTTACAGTGGCGAAACCAGAGATGTGGACCCCGGGTCCGAACCCTCCTCGATTAGCACGTATAATAGTATTGTTAGTAAAAACATATTGGTACATTATTTTTATATAAATTTATATGGTATATTTTGTCCGAAGATACTCGTTTGGCACAGTACACATGTTTTTACCTGAAAATTTACACAAGAAAATGTGAAAATCCAGTTAATAAAAATGTTGACCCGAAAAATGACGTTTCGTTTGCGTACAATTATTAAATTAGACTTATATTGTAAATCGCAGTGTAAATTTCGATAAGATACACGTAATCTCAAAAGTTTTTGGTCACAAATGTTTCATACAGTTATGTAACAAATTAAATTAAGTTAAAAAAAAAAAGAAAAAAAAAAACATTTTTAATCACGCCTTTTGTATACAGCCAGTTCTAAGCCTGTAAAAATGAGAAATACAGTCTTGAATATTATTTTTGTTCGTTCTTTTGGGTTTTAGTAGACTTTTGCCATAGTTTATTTGCGCGAACGGATATCGCCCATTTTGTCAGCTAGACCCCAATATGAAAAATTTCTGACTGTACCATTGGTTAGTCGTATGATATATTTTTATGACCGTGTTTAAAATAATTTATTATTTATTAAAATTATTGTGGTGATGAACTCAATGCTTCCGAGACGCATATTGATTGATGCAGGCCTATTATATTAGGTGTAAGACGTTCCGAGTTTAATAGGTATCTCATGCACATACCCAACGAAGAGATGAGGTTGCCCCAAAGCTCGGCGGTCTGCCAAGCCAAGAAGAAGAATCCGAAGAACCGGACGACGATACCGTCCACCTGCTGGTCGGTGAGCTTGGCGTACACGGCCCCAGTCTGCGTGAGGTACGTGGCCTTGGCGGCCCACATGGGCGCGGCGCCCAGGCCCACGAGCACGCCGGCTGGCACCAGCGTGTAGAACCGCGGGTAGAACTGGGCGCCGATGTACGGTATGTAGCACAACATGGACAGGCACAGCGTCCACTTGACGGTCAGCCGCTTGATGAGGAACGTGGGCACGAATATGCAGCTGAGCACCAGCGCCGCATAGATGGCGGACAGGGACACGGTGCCCAGGCCCTCGCGGGCGTTGATCGAACTCTGCAGGTTGGCCGTGCCCTGGAACGCGGTGAACTGGACCATGAACGCCAGGCTGATGGTGGACACGTTCTTCAGGATCCGCCACTTCTCTTTGGGCGACATCTTGAACTTGCCCTTGGACTGGTCTTCGTCGCCGTCGCCGTCGGCCATGCTGCATAGCGGCGGCTTGGCAAGGCCCCCGTCGCCGGACTGTAGCATGTCATCCCGCTTGAAGCCCTGGTTCTCGTAGCCACCGACCACTGATATCGTGTACACGGCCACGTCGGACGACTGCTTGTCCTTGCTGGTGTCCTTGCCCTGTTTGGCACCGGTCTTGCTCTTCCGGTGGTGGAACAGGCTGCTGTCCACGCCGAAACTCTCGCGGCGGTCGGCTGACGCCACCATGTTGGCGTTGTCGCTGTCGAAGCGTTGCCTAACCACTGCGGTTGTAGCTGTCGCTGTCGCTGCGATCGACGATCAAAAAGACCTGTGGAGAAGATTAACAAACAACGATCGGTTAGTGATGGTGATGACAACAACAATGACAATATCATCATCGCATAAAGGTACTGTATTACATAATAATTGATAATACGTAGTTAAGACTTGGAATTGGTAGCATATTTGGGTTTTTTCCGGCGGACAGCAGTTTACCTTTTTATCGCAATCCCCTCTATAAACATAGTATCTCACGATAAACAGATTCGTTTCGTATCATCCTTACTGTATAGTCAAGTCGTAAACTCTAATTTTGATTTCTAAGCTTAAAAAATATTAGTAATATGATTTTTGCGAAAATCATAAATTCAATTTTTACGATTGTGATAAAATCTCAACAGCCCTACCTAAAATAACATACGCGTATACCCGTATACGAAGCAATAACGTTCGTTCGTTTGAATAATATATTATTGTAACGTCGACGGTGCGTTTCAGTCGCCCCTGCGTGCAGCGGTAAAATCGTGTCATGCGCGACTGATAACAAAAAACGACAACTAGGACTCGCGTTCTGCTGAAGGAATAATAATATTATTGTGCGTAATTTTCATAGCCAAGCGTTCCTCTCCACGGCAGCTATCTGCCGACCCGACGAGACACACATGTGTGTGTGGCAAAATGCCTTTCCATCGACGCCGCGAACCGGTTTTTTTTTCGCGAAAAAAATATCGTATAAGAAACACTCGAGAGAGACGATCATAATATATGCGTGTATCGTGTGCGTGTATATTATGTGTAATACGTTCTCCTATATACGTTCGTGGTGCGTCTGAAGGCTCAAACAATATAATATAATAATATTATTAAATAGGTATGTGCATTCGAATAACATTAGAGATGTGCGTAAAACTTCGAAAAAAAAATTAACGAAAAGTGTTGATTTCGTGACGACCACACCCCCTAGGACACCGTCACCGCACCACTCACCCCTAGCGTAACACGAAGTGCCACGGAGACGACCTACGTCTCGCTTACCTATATGTATGATATAAAATAAACATTAAACGTTCGAATATTAAACTGGATAACGCGATACCGATGAGACTGGTCACTGGTTACTGGTTAAAATAAAGTATATGTAAATACTATATGTATCGTAATAAATATATTTACCAACCAATATTATACTGTACACGTACCTAACCTAAGCCTATATTAAAATTTATAAGTACATGTATATGTAAAACGAGTCTGGCGCGAGGAGTGGTAAATATTAGCAAAACGAGCCGTAGTCCACTGTCCATGAGTGTTTCAAATATGTGTACGCTTGAATATTATGAGTATAATGTTTATAACATATGTTATATTATAATAGTAATCTTTACGCGTAGTCATATCTAACTATACATTATACTTATGGAGTTATCTATCTAGTATATTATACTTGTCGTATTAGCTATATTGCTGTTTTTTAAATTATAAAAGTCAAATTAAAAATATTGAACCCTAATGTGTAATTATAGATTTATAGTATATAAATCCATAAACAGGATTTCGATAAGATCTAATATCCATATATTGGTAGTACCCAATAATAGATAATACCTATTACTCAGCCACTCAGGGATATGAAATTATAAACATTAAACATGTATTGTCATTCAAAAGAGTAAGACACCAAAACGATATGAAATTGTAAAAATATTGTTTTGTAATTACATTAAATTATGTAAGATAAATATTTTCAAAAACGTTAGTCTTTTCCTATATAACTCGTGTTTTACGTTAAATGGATCACTCCGTATATACTATGTATACATGTTATACGACCCACGCGTGCGAAAAAACTAAGCTATATATATAATACAATACATGTAGCGGAAAACTTGCGCTGGACAAGGTTATACTTTCTCCCATTGTGCATTCCGGGAACCACTAAACACATACACACACATAATATGTATGTACACGTTTTATTCTGTGTATAATTATGTGTATATGTATATATGTATACCTAGGCGTACCAGCTGGCAGACGATCAGGGGACTACGGGTGCCGAGTTTCGCACAGTTTACTATATATTATTATTATTATTATTGGAGTCAAGGCAAACGCGAGTTGATTTTTGACTTTGAAATTTCCAAAATCCGTCATCCAATATCTGGGTCAAATATTAATTATATCAACAGTGTGTTATCGTGACAAGCCGTGTCTAATGTAATAATAGTACATGCGTTATGTGCTGTTTATCTATCATAATATTTTAATATACGAACATTTATATTTTGAGTGTGTGACAATTATGGGGGCATTAAAATTATTTATTTAACATAAACGTTGACAATATGTCAAGGAATTAAAATCAGTCAAAATCGTTAAAATATTATGCCATGCGTATATATTAGTTACACAATAGTCTTTCACATTAGATAATATTATTGTATTTTGTATAGGTTTAACAATATTGTATAGGTAACGTTTTACTCGAATATTAAAATGCACGCAATAATTTGTGCGAAAGTTTTTGTAAATATACTCGCGTATACGTTTTCGGAATAATCTCGCTGCTTCTGATCTGTACCCGCGACTCAAGCACGGAGTTACGTAAACTTTTGAACACTACACGGAAATTAATAATAATTCAACATTCACGATATTTACATAAATTATACAATTCTTCTATAAACGAACTGACCGTCTCAGCTGGTTTTTTTTAGTAACTGAAAACAAACGTTTTAATTTTTTTTCTTCAGTTTAGGTAAACTAAACAAATACCTACAACTGTCAACTATCTTAATAACCGTGACTCATATATTACATAGGTGCATAATGCGACCACAGTGCAATAGGGACGAGTTTATTCTCCGCGGGTTTTTCAAGTCCCTGCTGAGATCGCGACGACTATAATTTACAATAATACAATAATACAATAATTTCAATACATCTCGTAGTAATATCTGTCAGTATCTTTGTACTAAGTATTTTCTAATTATTTATAAGTCTTTTATTTAAGTAATTATTGATCAAATGTGACCAAACCACGGATTGTGTCTTGACATTTTTATTCATATAATATTATGAATCATTCCTATTCGCGGTATTCCTACTCTTATTATATTATTTTTCATTAAACTGTGCGACTCGTGACCATATCTCATCCACTCCTGTTTTAATGCTTTATATACTATTGATCACCAGATCGGAAACATAACTCACTAGTATACAATATAATGAAATTATTTTCACGGTAGGTATATAGATTTGCAAATTGTATTATTATTACCTATAATAAATCATATATGAGCTATAATCCCGTTATATGTATGTATATAGGGACATGAGTCAGTCTCCAAGTGCATGATGATTAAATATTTTTAACTCCAACCGAATAACATATTATATAGAAAACACTATGACAGTTAATGTCGGGGGCGGGCTAAATTTTCCGAAGTTCGGGCACTTGAGGTAATAATATAATATAATATTATTGTTCAAAAAACACTCGCGGGATCCGAGTGCATAATGTCACGTTTTTCGTATTTGCGACACACTCGCGTCCGACGTATTATTATGCATATTATATAAACTAGATGACCAAACCTCGGCTCGCGTTTAAATATTTTTTTCTGATATTGCTTTTCATATTTATTTTTCATTATATTGTGTGGCTTATGATTATCTTGGCGTTAGTTGGCTATCCTTGATCTGTCGTATCTATACATACAGACAGAATCTGCAGCAGTTACCTTTGTTCAATATAACTGCAGTGTCTAAAATTCAAGAATTTATCGTTACTGCACACCTTATTCCACTCACCTAAGTATTATACCAATTCCTAATATTGCACACTTTTTAATTTKCTATACGCACATTTCATAATTTCTACTGCAGCATTGCATATTATAGTATGTGCTACTACCCACAATTTTAGATCTTGTGGTATAATATAAAATATATTAGTTAAACTCAGTTAAAGTACGCGCGTTAAATGCATCGAATATAAAAGCCCATTTTTGGAAGTGGATTGCGCAATCGAACGTTTAGAAAACGGACTCGGATTTTTATTTAGACACTCGCGAGTGGTGAGATTTTCTATTTACCGGCCACATGTATAGGTAATATAGTATATAGTATTTAGCACGCGCACATAATATAATATATTTTGTAGTTGAACACGGACAAACAAGTGCGTCGGGCTAGCGGTGCAGATACCTAGGTATATTATTATTATTATTTAACGTGGTTAATGATTAACGCGTATTTACACTTGTCATTTCGTCCATACATAATATTATAGTGTACCTAATACCTACGTTGTATGAATTCTTTGTAGACATTTCGCTAACGAACGAGGAACGACACACGCCATTTAATAATAATAATAATATACCTATATGGTAATTTTACAATTTAGTCCCATCTGTAGTATGTATGTGATATGCAATATGAATGTATATATGAGTATAGAAAACAAACCTCGCTTAAACAATTGAAATCGATATGATTTTATTTAGTAAAATATTATTATTTATTAATCGCGATGAATACTTTTTTCTAAATATAGTTTTTAAACACGAGGCAGCCAATAGTTAAATATAAAGTCATATATGTGTGATATAATATATTATTATGTATTGTTCACAGCAACAAGGATATAAATTATGACTCGATCCATTTCCAATTTATTTTTTTATGTTCGGATTTTTCTTCCTTGTAGTCTATTTAACCTCTTGAAAATTGAAACGCTTCAAAAACATAAATTAAAATTACTATACTTTTAATGTCTACGTAAAGCACAAGTATCACTATTTACCAACAAAAAATATGTCTTTAAACGAAATCTCTGTGTACTGTGTAGCCATTCGAATAAAATATCTTCATATCATGACTTGTGATTGTTCTACATCTTATACATAGAAAAATTTCAACTACTCGAGTAGGTAATACTTGGATGCAGAAAATGTTAATTTTTATTTTTATAATCCCTCAGATGTTTGTTCTGTGTATAAAAATTTATAATATCGATCTTTAATTATTCTTACATTAATT